TCCTTTGGACTGAAAATATTAGAGAAGAATATTTTGATCGGATAAGCAAGTTAAAGATGTTCAAATACCAGTGCACATATTTGGAGTTGATGGGGCGAGACCTGTGTTATGTGAATTTTTTGTGGGGTCAAATTGTAGAAGACCAGAGTGAAAAAGCTTTCTCAGAAGTTATGTGTCACGAGACAAGACACCTCTTGAAAAAATATTTTGCACTTGATGCACTGACTTTTCCAAACTGTCACTGCCTTGTAATTTTTCCATTAATTTCAAAGGGTTTCTACAGTCTTCCAGAAAGAATACAAAATGAGTACTCCATCCTCTTTCCCAATAGAATCCAAAGTGAATTCATATTACTGAGTTGGAAGAATCTGGTGTTTTTGAAAGAATGACAGTATTCAGCCTTTTAATTTATTGTTTAGTTTGTAATAACATGAGTAATATATAAATATTCTTCTGTTAAAAAATCAACTTTTCAGATAAAAAAGTCCCCTTTCACCAACATTTAAAATTATAAGCATCTCTTCTTTCTCTTCAGTTATATATCCATACAGAGTTTTTACTATGGATTTAAATGCATTTAAATATACTTATAGAAAACATATAGAAACGTTTTGAGTGTAGAGGTGTGTGTTTTTAATAAATGACATAATTCTACACAAAATGCTTTAAAACTTACCTTTCCCAGTTTTTTAAAAAAAAGGAATTTTGGGAAAAAGCCTGTATCAGTACATGTAAACTTAACTCATTTCTTAAACTGCTATATCTATATCCCCATACTGTGGATATATCACAGTTTATTTATCCATCTCTCCAGTGATATTTATATTGTTTCTAATGTTTCTACTTATAAATAATGTTGCATTCACTCCTTCTTAGCCCTGTATGGGCTTTCTTCATGCTAGTCTTTTTTTTTTTTTTTTTTTTTGTATTATGATTGGATAATCTTCTTAAAATGCCGGAGACCTGTGAAATATAATAGCTAATTTTATGCAATGACCAACGATCTCCCTAAAATTGTCCAACTCATTTCCTTTGGTGAACTCTAAACATTTAATTAATACTTGTGATTAGTGAGAAAGCCTGTTTGGAGCTGTTGAGACTCCGTTCTTAACTTTGGAATGGATTTCTTTTATTCTTCTGCCTGCCCATCCTCAGAACTTCTGGTGGTGCAGCTGACACAGGGAAAAGTGAGAATGCTCTTTAATACACAGAGGCCATGGCCCTCCCTCCTGTTATCTATCAGAGTTCTGTCCAGGATATGACGGGGGGGAGACTTCATTTGGCACAAAGAAACGATATATCTTCTCTTTAGCTCTGTTATTTTAACCAGTCATTTGTGATCCCGTAATCTGAGAAAATCCCTGAAGAGTAATAAGAGGTAATTAGTTTTCATCCACAGTTGAGTGATTCACCCATAAGTATTTATTAACAGCCCAGGAAGGAGCCATAACTATAATAAGGATTTTGTGGGTAGGATTATTTCTGTGCAAGGTAAGATTGCCCTAATACCCGGTACAAGAAAACACAAAGCCTTTATCTTTTCTTAAGTCTTTAAGAAAAGAGGTGGGCACAGAATGTACAAGGGGTGACCGCTGTTGGAATCAGAAGAATGCAAAAATCCATACGAGGGTACAACATTTCACTGTTTTAATAGTGTTGATCTTGCAAAGTAAAACCTTTGTGTCACTGAGTTCACTGCCCTTCATAGAACAGAGGTGCTTTGTTTTGGAACATAGGGCAGGTATTAAAGGTTTCTTGAATATATCACCAACAGTTCTACACAGTAACTTCTTGGCATAATTTTTACATTCTTGAAAAGTATGCCGTTTTGTTCAACTCTCCCAACAATTCTGACCCAGGCAGGGTAAGAGATACCATATATTCGAGAGGGTAGGTGACTTACCTTGTCATGGCCAAAACACATCCCAAATCTGCTTTCACATCCATCTGTTCCTCACTGAATTATGCTGCCTTCTAAATGAAGTTATACATTCAGACAGAGATACCTATTCATGCACAAATAGAATGCAGGCTCGGGAATTGTTAGGTGTGCTATGAAATTCCATACTACTTATCTTTTGCTGTTTGACTGTCCGTAGGGCTGTAAGCTCACTCAGAGTTCACATAGAAGCGTCCAGGTACTGTAAGTCAACCACTGTGCTCGGTCTTTGCCCCCTTCTTGTTCTGTGAAGTGTACAAGGCCTCAGATGCCTTTGGCTCCGTGAGGCTCAGAAGTACTTGTATTTGCTACATCTGTGTTAAAAAAAAAAGACCATTTTGTTTGTCTGTTTCCTGTTAGAGTGAAGTTCCTTGCCTGCTCTGTTTTAAGACATCAAGCCCTATTCTGGTGTGTTTTTCTAACTCTGTGTTCCTCAAACATGCTTGATCGTCAAAATCACCTGAAATATTGTGAGTTCTGTGATAAGACAAGTTTAGGAAACAATCTTAGCCTAACTCATTAGGCCTATCTCTCGGAGTTTAATTGTTGGGTCCTGTCAAGAACCAAGGTCCATAGTGTGTTCCTGCAAGCACTTGGCATCCTATATTGTTCTTGGCAGTAACTGAGCGAAAACTCCAAAGATGTTAGGAGACAAGCATTCACTTCCTAAGGATCTTTTCCCAAGTCAGGGGAGGCTCAGTAAGTGTTGTGAATTATAACCCCATTTATTCATTACTTCAACAATGATGAGTGAATCCTGTGTGCCAGGCGTTTGTGCTGGGTGCTGGGCATATACAGCTGTGAATGAGGCAACTGACATTTACTGAAGTGCTTATCATGGGATGGATACCAGGCTAACTGCTTCAAATGACCTTTTCTCATTTAAACTTCACAACTGTCCTGGGAGGTAGGTATTCTCACCTTCATTTTCAAATGAAGAAACTGTTATTTCAGAAGTTTGACTGACTTGGCCAAGGACACAGATCTAGTAACAGGGGGATCCAGAATCCATGCCAAATCAGACTCCTGCTCCGTCCTGCACTGCCCTTCTGCTTTACGTGGTCTCTATGACTCCTTACTTTGCTCTTTGTACTTCAAGCAGAGATTCTCAGCCGTGGCTACATGATAGAATTGCCTGGGGTGCTTTTAAAAAATATCCTGGCCTGGGCTTCACCCCAAGCAGATTAAATAAGAAAATTTGATGGGACCCAGGTAAGAGCATTTTTTTTTAAAGCTCTCTGGGTGATGCTAATGTGCAGTGTTGGTGGAGAACCACTTAGAGCATCATTAATTGACACCAAAGAGATACCGCTGTGCCGGCCTAGTTTCCAGCATTCTTCTTGGATCATTTGGCAGATTTAACTTTTAAAGGTTCTAAATCATTTTTATTCCCTCTTAAACAAACTGAGATTTATCAACAGGTAGCAAATACTTTCCTGATATAATATTTCCCCCAAAAAAGGACATGATTAAAAATCCATTTAACCAGGAATTTAGAAACTTGGAGATCTATTTTCAGGGGAGTATAGTCAAAAGTGAATGATGAAAAATTATGTGGAGTTTAAAACACCCCTGAGTTCCTGGATCTTTCTTTTCTGGTGAGACTCTGAGCTGCTGAAGATACTTTCTTTTAATCTGATGCGGAAAGAAAACCTTAGGACGTACAGTGGTGTTTTGGGACATATGGTCCCTCATCCTTAGTGAACACCAGTCACAAATCAACTTATTTTTTTCCAAATCCAAGTCAAAGTAAAATAAAAGCTAGTTTGGATTTTGCTAATTTGGGTGTATGAATATACATACTCAGACTAGATTTTATTTTGAATGCTCTAAGAAAGAAAGAATACTCTAAAAGGTAGAAGAATGGGTATCTAAATTTCTTCAAGCTGTTTGAAAACCTTTAACTGCTTGAACAATGCATGTGTGTATACTTACATAATCTTTTAAGTTAAGACTTCTGCATTTTAGGCTTTCAACATTTTATTAAACATCTACTATGTGTTTGGCGATATCTTTCCTTTGTAAAGATGGCAGTCTAATTAATTATTGACGCTTCACTAATTAAATCTGTTTTTGCCTTGTCTTCAACCAGTGAGTTGTGACTATTCTCTGAGAGGTTCTTCTGAAAGCATCTATGTCAAATATGAGTAAATGGTTAGTTGAAGTAATCACAAAGTTGTGGTCTATAAAAATCCCTGGAATGCAAAAGGCGGGGAAAGTAAATTTGGGGGTTACTGAATGTTAACAAGTCTGAGGCACTTCTATGAGAAGAAAAAGTCAAGGCTACCAGGGGAGGGAAGATTTTTTTAAACCAATAGGTTTTTAGACAGAGAAAGAACAGTGACTGCCACCCCACTATTATAAGTAACTTAAGGTGAGTCCTCTCTGCATTTAAAAAGTCAGATGATCTGATAGGATTCATATTCAATGCTGTACCCCACAGATATGTGCAAGCAATTATGTGTCAATTAAAAATAAATAAAAATTAAAAAAAAATTCATTGGAAAAGTAAGAGTGATGATAGGATAGTTGGATCATACATTTCTACTAGGGTCAAGAGTTATTTTATGACTATTGCTAGAACAGATTACAGAAAAAAGTTAACAGCGAACAGAAAAAAAAAAAAAGAAAAAACATGAAAAACGGCCTCCTTTTTTACATTTCCACATAGGTGATCTCCATACGAGGAGATGAACTTGAACTTGGTTGGGCGGGAGACGGACCTGGTTGGGCGGGAGACTGGAGCCCCTCAGAGAATTTGGGATTCTTCCATTTTTACTGGGAGGGTTGGCAGGTATAACATGTGTTGTTATGTGAGTCCATGACAGCCTCTGGGGTTCTAACTCCCTGCCCCTCCATGTGGTGGGGACTCAGTCGCTCACTCTGAAGCACTGGACTGATTTCTGTCTGTGGCTTACCCATGAGCAGTGGCTTGGAAGTGTCAAAGCATGAGAAGCATGCATCGAACAGCATGTGCTGCCCTCATCTCCTACACGGTTCTGCATGGGAGACTCTCGGGCCGTCTGCCTCCCAGCTCAGGTGTTCCCTTCTTTCCCTACAGAACTCCCTGAAGGCTTCAAATCGGAAGAAGAAGAGAACAAGCTTTAAAAGAAAAGCCAGTAAAAAAGGAACTGAAGTAAGCATTTCAGAGTTACGTTCCAAACAAATACAACTTCCCCGTCTGTAGCCTCCTCTGTCCCACATGGTCTGGCGCAAGCTTATTCCTCTGATGTGTCTCTTTCCACTCTGTCTCCTTCACTGCACTTGACCACACTAGAATTCTTTCTTTTCTTTAACAACAGTAACAAACCTAAACTCCTGTCACTTTAGAGTCAGAATATTTGTACTTGCTGGAAATGTTATCCCAAAGATGATGAGGATGGAGATAAGAGCTAACATTTCTGGAATGCTTAGAATGTACAGTTTAAAATCAAAAGCATGGCCTAATTCTCCGGAGAAAATTGTGGCTTGAGAAACTTTCTTTGAAGCTTTATATGGAAGGTCCATTAAGAGTTATCCCTGTGAAACAAAATGTAGGGTTTTTTGGGGGTGGTGGTTTCCCACTTCCTTTGCTTTGGGGTTGCCTTTCAAGCCATCGATGTGTATCTTTACAGTGCTGCTTGCTTCTTTCAGCAGGAAAACAAAGGTCGTCCTTTTGTGATAAAACCTATCTCTTCTCCTCTCATGAAACCCTTGCTTGTATTTGTAAATCCCAAGAGTGGAGGAAACCAGGTAAGTCATTTTTTTGAGTTTAACTGAGAAGTTTCCATGATTTCTCGAAAACACAATTCTCAACACCAATTAAAATAGCACCACTAGGACCCCAAGCATTGGACGATAACCGGTTTCTCAGGGATGTGATTACTGTTGCTTCATTAGGGGACAGCCTTCCACATCACAGGGCTGGGCAGAATCTAGAGGTTCAGTGACTTATCGCTCTACTTCCATATAAGACTGCAGCAGAGGCACTCCAAAATCCTAACTGCAGCACTGACACTTTCCATACGGATTTTCAAGAAAGGTCATTCCAGAATTTCTCTTAGATAATGTGTTTCAGGGTTTCTCAGTTCTTGTAGATAGGAAGCCCTTCACCAACTTATTTTTATTTCTTCCTGCTATAATTTAGACCCAACTACTTTTGTCCCTGTCCTCAAAGAGAGAACAATGACTCATCAGTCACAGTGGTCATTAACAAATACCACCAAAGCCGTAGAAAATATCAGCTTCTAAAGATTTCATTTGGTCCTTCCTTGCTGAAATTTGATAGCATAGTTGATATTTACCTCATTTGAGAATAAAGAAGTAGACTTAGAAAAGTTCATTTAAAGGCATACCTAAAGTAACACCGCTCTTTTGAGACTCTTTAGTCACCCCATATAAGAAGGGGAGTCAGATAATTAGGATGACCCAATAGTTCTCGATGATATTCTTATTACTGAAGATACTAGTAATTTTCCAGAATGTATTAATTACATTTAAAGTTTTTCTTAAGGGAGCTTATGATTTAAAGGAGATATTATGCCTCCTTCCCTCTCTTTCTTTAAAATTCTTGATAACTTGCTATGTTAAAAATCTGTATTGACATTATAGAGAACACAGGAAAGAAACGTGTTGTAAGCAAAGAGACAGTTTATTTTCAATATATCCTGCATTTTTGAGTTGCTAAATGATGCTCTACTTATTGTAATGATGGTGATCCTGAGACTGTCACTAGAGGAGGACTTAGGAATGGGTTTCTTTGGAGTGAGGTTCAGTTTGCCCTGAAATCATATCAACTTTCTTAGGCTGGTCTCTCTGGAGCCTGTCAAGGGCTAGTGATGCAGTTGGGAACTATGGAACAGGCAAAGCTAATGTAATTGCCCCTGTGATTTTGGCCACCTCAACACCATATACTAATTAGTAACAAAATATCTTATCATGGTAGTCTATATATAAAATGCATTTACTAAATTATTTTAAGCTTTTTTTTTTCCCCAAGGGCACACAGAAGCTTGTAAGTTTTCCCTGCCTTTAAGGAGCTGACTGTCCAGTAGAGATATAGCCAGTTCCTTTTCCAATTTCTGTATAAATTATTAATGACAGGGACTTCAGAGATTATCTAATGTTGCTTCCTATTTCACTCTATAGAAAACAGATCAAGGAAGCCTAAGTGAATTTTCTAAGGACATCTTGTTAATGAAACAAAAGGAGGAAATGGGAAGAATATAATTCAAGCGACGTTAACCGTATGTGAGTTCTAAATTGAGTGGATCAGACTGCAAGTGCCATGAAATTTCAGAGGCAAACTGTGATGTGAGAGTGATAAGGAAATGGTGTAAGCGAGATGGCTGAAATCGAAGATGGGCATTACTTAATTACGCAAAGGAGAGAAGACTGGAGGAATGCCTTTTTCTTCTCTCTGCTGTGGCGAGTTCCTCTTCGTTATTTCAAGGCTCAGTAGTGCCATTCTGAACCATTTCTCAGAATTAATCACCCTTTCCTCTGTGCTCCCACAGCCCTTGGTACACACCTGTATTCTGTGAATTGCAACATAAGTGCTCTGTGTGTGTCTATTCTGTTAGGATATAGACTCCATAACACCAGGGCTGTACCTTTGAATCTATGATTTCTAGCACATGGCACATAGCAAACAAATAATTGTATAATAGACTATATGAATAGAAGGACAGATGTTCTGAAAATTGTTCATATTGAGGACAGTATGGTGAGTGGAACATGAATATTAAGTTATTTGGAAATGTGATTAGATAAAGATGAGAATAAGCCTATGGAACACTATCTTAAAAACTTAGCTGAAGATTTTGGATTTGTGCAATGGAAACTAGGATTTTGCTGTTTAAAATACTTTAGTTTTAAAAATCTTCTGGTTTTTGAACAGAGGAGTAATATAATTGAATATAATCTGCACACAATTTGCTTGGGGATCCTGTTAAAATCAAGACTGTGTTTCAGCAGTTCAGGGGATGGGTGCTGAGATTTGGTACCCACCCCCTGAATGTTTTAATAAGCTCCTTTTTAGCAATTTATTTAATTAATTTGCTTTTAGATATAAAGCACTCTCATCTCTTCCCTTCTTTGAAACTTAGGCTTCAAACTTTTTTTTAAAACTTGCTTAGTGTTGTGTTCTTTAAGTAAATAACTAGATGATAGTGCCATCTAGTGGCAAGGAAAGTACCTGTGGCTTTTCCCTTCACACAGTATTTTAAACATAAGGAAAATTTCCAACGTTTTGAAGGAATATCTTGGGATAAACATATACAAAGACTGCTTCTATGTCTTTCTTCTAAACAATTCCTTCTTTTAAAATTTCTTTTCTTAAACTTCACCGTAATTGTATCTTTGTTTTGTTAACACTAAGGCAGAGATGACACTGGGTATTTTGCAGACTGTAGAGGTTAGGAGCACTGCTGTTACTGCTGGGATCTGAATTATTTGAGGAAACAGGCACTGTAATCAGTGAACAAAATTTCAACTTTGAGTGACTCTTCCTGTGAGAAGCAGTAGTGAGGGGTGGATAGAGTTTACCCCAACACAGTCCCCTCCTCAGTGTGGAAGCTTTTGAGGACTAGAGAAGCAGACCCCCTCTCTTACATTTCTGTCTGCTTTGACCTCAAAACTTACTGTTTTTCTTTACTGCCTTTCACTCACCAGAATCTTTTGATCTGAGTCTTAAGAGACCCCTCTTTCTCAGTGTTGCCTGCTTTCACACTGTCTCCCCCATGTTCCACCATGACTTCATCTGCTGGTGACCTAGATTATAAACTGAGGGTTAAGCAGATGTTCTGACCACTAGGATGATCCTAGCCCTCCAGTCCTGAGAGTTGTGGGGTCCAGACCCTGGCTCCTCACACCACTCAGTGTGGAATCCCAGGGTAGAGGGTGGCAGGAGTTGGATCCCTGAATCAGAGCTTCCAGGGACCTTATGAAGAGAGTGGCCTGAGGGAGGGGTATTCAGCTGGTGGGCAGGCTCATGCTGACTGAGTTCACACCACCTTCTGAGAACTGGCTTTCTTAGACCAGGACCGCCCTTTCTAAGTCAGGGGCCAGTCACACCAAGGTGGGAAGGAGAAAGGGAAGGCAAAAAGAATTTAAAAACTTCCTATGAGAAATGTGAGTCCCGAAATTATTTCTAAATACTTGGACAAACAATCTCAATGAAAGCATTAATTTTTGCAATGCTGGTGACTTTTCAACCTGGGGTTACATCAAGAATCACTACATTGAGATAAGAATCAAGGCTCCTACTAAGGTGCAGAGTGGGCAGGGAATAGGGCAGAGGTCAGTGGATGGGGCACATGTCAGAATCCAATCTCAAGATCTTGTCAAGTCAGCCTCAACATGTGGAGTGAAAACAAGCAAACCATGAATCTGTGGAAAGTCCCTTTTTCCAAGTCATAATATTGGGGTGAGTACGGGGGCAGCTAAGACCCAAACCAAGCCCCTTTGATAGGTCCGGGACGCGGATGTCCAGCTCCATAGTCTGTAGCCATAATGATGTATCAACAATGTCAGTCTGACTGTCTTGATTAAGAGACGGACTATCTTGATTAAGTCCCTTGTCAGTGACTCCTTGTTTCCTATAAAATAAAGCTCAAGCTCCTTAGCATAAATGATTGAGTCTACAATTCACTTCAGCAATTTCGTTTCCCAATACTCTCTGCTTCATGGTGTATAAAACTGAACAGAGTGTGGTTTCTCCATGGCATGTGTTGCTGTCACCCCCCTCTTTTGCCCTAACCTTGAAACTTCTCCCTCTATCCATATGGAAAGAGATGGTTAACTCTACTCATCTTTCAAGACAGTTCAGATATCACACCTAGGATGTCTTTCGTCTCCACACTTGGGCTTAGAGTATCTCCTCTGGACACTCATGCCTCTCAGTAGGCATCTCTGACTTGGCACTTACCATCTTTAGTGAATTTATTTTGTATTGTTCTCTTTCCACCAGATTCTGAGTGTACGCCTGGCACAGCATAGGAGCCTAATACATATTTAATGAATAAATGACTTATTCCTTTGGGGTTGTTTGGAGCCAGTTTGAAGTAACCATTTCTAAAGCTCTTCCTCCTACTAACTTTTATTTTCTACAGGCCTGTCTTATTGTCTGGGCAGTTGTTCTTCCTCGATCTAGATAACGCCTACACAATAGAAGCCAAGACTTAGTAACATGGCAGACTGTTTCAGCCCACGCTAGAGTTACGGTGCTTTGATGGAGATGGATGTACTGTTTGAGCTGACCTGTTCTTAATGGCTTTTCCACACCTCCAAATCATTATTATATTTTCTTTTATGAATAATGCATATAATTCCCTTTTGAGAGCAAGATTATCTCTGTTTTGTTTATCTCTCTATTCTTCCACCTAAAACTATGCCTGGCACATAGTTGGTGAATGGGTGAATCTTGTTCATTTCCCTCTAGAATAATCTACCAACTTTCTGGGAAGTTGTTTTCTTCTGTTGCATCCCCTCCCCAACACCCAGAACTGTAAAAAATAATTTTTTTGCCCCTTAAGCATACGCAATCTCATAATATCTAAAAAAGTTCTGTGGTCAATGAGGCATTATATCTACAACAGCATGCATTTATTGGGATTAATGTGTATGCTGTTTTTTCATTTAGAGAAAATTAGACTCTTGGACAAAAGTTAGAGCTTTTGTGTTTGGCATATATTGAGACATGTTAATAAGTGACAGTTGTGTGAATAACTGAGTAGATTTAATTCTGCCACGAGAAAGAAACAAATTAACCTTATCCTGGTGAATTAGTGTTTGTCAAACCATTCCGTTCTATTTAATAAATTACCTCTATTAAAACTCTAAAGTAGCTTATCCTAGAGGTTATGGCAGAGTTAATAGAACTCATTTAAAACATGTGAGTCAGACCTTTTTCTCCACCCACTAGGATTAATTTTTAAAAATGCTTTCATTAAAGCACTCATTTTTCCTAATGAATATCATATTTTGAAAAGAAGATTACTTTTTAAAAGAAGTAATTCTATCATGCCTGAATGTAAACTCTGATAGGATAGCCATGCATGGCTATTGAAGTTATCCTGGCACAAATCAGGCAGAGTGGGATTATTCCAATAGGCTGAAATGGAAATGGTCCCTCTTAGAGGTATGCAGTGCACAACTTGCCAGGCTGAATTAATACTCCTTCCTGCAAAGGATAAATTGAGATAATTAGATGTTTCAACTAATGCAAGTTGAAAATGAGCAAAACCAAAACTGTATGGCCACTCAAATCTTTTAGAGAAATTTTAGGTTAAGAAAAACAACGTGTCAAAAAACAGCCTCTTGATACTTTTTATTTTTATGATTTGAAAAGTGTTAATTACCTAGTCTTATATGCACGATAGGAGAAGCTGAAATTAAGATGTGCACTCTGCCACAGCAAAGGTGAAAGGAGTGATTAACATCAGCAATTCATACTGCTCTCTGAGTCTAAAACTGAAAAATTAATTTTCTAGCAAGTCAGTTGGAAATGTTTTATAAATTGGTTCATCATTAAAATGACTTCTGTGTTACCTGTAAAACATAAAAAATTATTTGAGATAAGCCCGAATACACTTGATAGTAAAGCCCATCGTGGGAAGAAAGAAAATGATCTGGTATTTAGTTGGTGTTATGTATCTATCTCTGAATTTGATAGGAAGCAAATATGTCATTTGGTGAAACTAAAGGATTAGTTACAATAATTAAGGATAGAATGTTATTCCTAAAATTACAGCAAGCACATGATAAAGCAGAACTTTTAAATTACAGGTTTGGATGATATGTGGAACAAAAGACCTGTATTGGCCTCTGTAACAACTGGCATAACAATGTGATAATTATAAACTACACTTTAGCCCTCACATCCTCAAGTGTAATTTAATGAATAGATTAACAAGGAGCAAAAAGAAAGGGACTTAACATTTACAAAGGTCTATTTTGTGCCACATACTGTGCTAGATACGTAACTATTACTGATTCATTTAATTCTCATAATCACCTGGAAGGTAGACATCCCTTCTATTTTATATACTGCATCGCTGCAGGACTATAAATGTTCATGATTACCCAGTTAGAACACCCAAGTTCTGACTCAAACCTCAGGCTATTTCTACTATACTAGAATGACTCTTAAACACAGCATATTAGATATACAAACTTAGGAATACTTTAGGAAGAGCAGTCATGTTATTTACCAGAGGAACAATGTTACAAGCAACAAACCCTGCTCAACTGATTAAAAATTATTTGCTGTGGTTGATAAAAGGAGGCATCCTACTCAATTTTAAAGCTGTTTTGGTACTGCTTAATAGAAAGATCTTTTTTAAATTTCTTGTTTGCTCAATCCGCTTTAAGAAATGATTTCCAAAACTACCTGTGTTTGCCATAATGATTATCTCTATGAATGTCAGAGTTACTTATAATGCTCCAAAAATGTTCATGGGAGAGAGAAACGTTTGGCTTAAACAAACCGATAGACATGGAGACTGAAAAATGTCAAAATAAGCTATAACTTCGAGCCTGTAAAATTCTTGCTTCAGTTAGAAAAAATTGTCAATAAAATTATACTTAGCTAATACTCCTCATCTTTTATATTATTCAAAGACAATAATAATCTGTACAGTAAAATAAAAATTAAAGTTAAATTACATAGGCTGACTAATAACTTCCCTATATGGATTTTTATACATTAAGTAATGATGGTAAAACTAACAGATACTATTCATTAAGTGCTTATGGCATGTTAAGCGATGGGATGTGCTGCTCAAACATTATTGCATTTAATTTTTGCAACAAGTCTGGGAGGTAGGCATTCTTTTCTCCATATAAAAGAGAGGGGGTGCTGAGCTTAGTGAAATTAAGAAACTTGCCCAGAGTTACACATGTTAGACAAACATCTCACCTGGACATTCAACCTATGTATAGCTGTGACCAAAGCCCATGATTTTAACTACTTTATACTGCTTATAATTAGATATTACTTTAGAGTCAAGAATTTCTTTTTATTTTTTAAATGAGCAGTTCATATTGGGAAATTTCTTTCTATTATTGTCATTTTTTCTTTCTTTACAGGGAACCAAAGTCCTGCAGATGTTCATGTGGTACCTGAACCCACGGCAAGTCTTTGATCTTTCTCAGGAAGGGCCAAAAGATGCGTAAGTCTGGAAATACCCTCCATGGTTCAAATGTATTTTAGGCAAATGAGAAGAACTTTCTGCTGTGGGATCAAGCTCTACTATCTGTAATACATTGTAAAATATTTTCTGACCATCTCTTATCTACTTTTTCACCTGTACAATGCTCCCTTTAAAAGTTCATCTGACTTTCTCTCCTATTCTTTTTTTTTTTTAATTTTAAATTCTCAATATACGTTGTAGTTGATTTTCATGTTCCTTTACCTGTTCCTCTTTCCCCCCTCCCTCTCTCCCTACCCACCCCACAACATCATATCTGTTCACTTGTCTTAACACAATCAAGGAATTGTTGTGATTATTGTGTCTTCTTCCCCCCCTACCCTTTATTTGTTTGTATATTTATTTATTTATTTTTAGCTCCCACAAGTGAGAACATGTGGTATTTCTTTTTCTGTGCCTGACTTGTTTCACTTAATATAATGTTCTCTAAGTCCACCCATGTTGTTACAAATGGCAGTATTTCATTTTTTTTTCCTTTTTTTTTTTTTGTCTTTTTTACTGACCGGTAACGGGATCACAACCCTCGGTGTTGCGCCCGTATCGGGGACTGGCAACGGGATCGCAACCCTCGGTGTTGCGCCCGCACCGCACTCAGCCAGTGAGCAGGAACCGGTCTCCACATGGGATCTGAACCCTCGGCGGGAGCGCCGCCGCGCTCCCAAGCGGCGCACTCTCCAGTGCGCCACCAGGCCGGCCCTCTTTTTTTTTTTTTTATAGCAGAGTAGTATTCCATTGTGTAGATGTACCACAGTTTCCTTATACACTCATCAGATGATGGACATTTTGGCTGTTTCCAACTCTTGGCTATTGTAAATAGTGCTGCAATAAACATGGGAGTACAGGTATACCTTTGACTTGATGATTTCCGTTCCTCTGGGTATATTCCCAGCAGTGGAATAGCTGGATCATATGGTAGATCTATCTGTAATTGTTTGAGGAACCTCCATACCATTTTCCATAAAGGCTGCACCATTTTGCAGTCCCACCAACAATGTATGAGAGTTCCTTTTTCTCCACAACCTCACCAGCATTTATCATTCTCAGTCTTTTGGATATTAGTCATCCTAATTGGAGTGAGATGGTATCTCACAGTGGTTTTGATTTGCATTTCCCAGATGCTGAGTAATGCTGAGTATTTTTTCATGTGTCTGTTGGCCATTTGTATATCATCCTTTGAGAAGCCTATTCAGCTCCTTCGCCCATTTTTTAATTGGGTTTTTTGTTGTTGTTGTAAAGTTGTTTGAGTTCCTTGTATATTCTGGATATTAATTCTTTGTCAGGTGTATATTTTGCAAATATTTTCTCCCACTCTGTTGGTTTTTTCACTCTGTTGATTGTTTCTTTTGCTATGCAGAAGGTTTTTAGTTTGATATAATTCCATTTGTTTATTTTTCCTTTGGTTGCTTGTGCTTTTGGGGTCCTATTCATGAAGTCTGTACCCAATCCTACTTCCTGGAGTGGTTCCCCTATGTTTTCTTTAAAGAGTTTTATTGTTTCAGGATGTATATTTAATTCTTTAATCCATTTTGAGTTGATTTTGGTATTTGGTGCTCTTTATTGGGTTAGTTTTCTTCAAAACATATCTTCCCAGTTGTTTAATCAGTGACTATTTCTAGTGTGTTTGCTGCTTATGTATATGCAGCTGTAGATTATTCACAGAAAGTCTGTTAATTGAGGAAGGACTCCTCATTTTCCTGTTTACGCATGTGCAACTTTGGAGATGCACATGAATGGGAATGAAAGTGTCTCTCTGTGCAGGGCAGCCACATTTGTTTATGAACCTTTGTATTAGCGGGGGTGTGTGTGCATATGTGTGCATTTGAGAGAGAGATACTGACTGCTAAATTGATAATATCGATGGACTCCACACCAGTGTAGAAGAGACATGTTAATTCCTGCACAATCTCTTTTCTGAGATTCTCAGAAATCTCTTTGTCTGTTTTTGTAGGAAGTGTTGACAATAAAATCTAGAAATCATATCCTATTTCTTCCCTTTGGTGAGAGGCACATGGTGGGAAAGAGCAGGGACCCTTCTGCTGTTGTCTGGTTCCCTGTTTTAAGTCCATCTATTAAGATAATTTAGATGATATCTGATAAACATTAGAACATAAGGGATATCAATTATTTTTTAGTAAGTAACAATACCAGAGGCAAAGAGATGTCAGTTCAGATCGTTTCTGGAGAAATAGTATTCCTGTTAAAAATGGATAAATTATATATTTTAAGCATGTAGGAGGACATGCTATATGAAAATTAATTTCTGACATCCTCTTAATCTATGAACTTCTTTGCCACTAGATTCTGCTGTAAGACTTCTTTATTTTTTTTCTGTTTTGGTTCTGCTAGGGAAAATCTGCTACTCTTGGCTTGTGCTCTTTTCGATGCTTACTTTTCTTAAGATTTTTTCACTTTTTTAGACTTCAGGTATACATTTCATAGGTCACCAATAAAACCATGGCAGGATAGGAAATATTTTCAGAAAAAAACATATTATTTGATTTAAATAGGTGATGTTTTCTCAAGCAGAATTGTTAACAGCTTCCCTTAAGCAAAATATTTAGCAGGGGTTGTATCACTGCATTTTCTTAAGAGCCAATAAGAAAGAGAAAATGATTGAATTTCAATCAGGCAAATTCAAAATAAAGAAAAATCAGTAGATCTCCCCACTTTGGGCTGAGGGTGTAAGTAGGGGTGTAAGTGAGTGAGTTGAGAGGTAGATGAAATCGTGGGTGTGGTAGCAATGATAGTAGGAAATCCTGCCCATCCCTCTGGAAAACATCACTTGGATTAAGAATGTGATGGTTATGTTTGAAAAATAGATAGAATTAGCAAAAGCCAATAAAATGTAAGGAGGAAACATATAAGGACTGTTGATTACCAATTAATGATGATTATTTTTTTGGAGGAAAAAAGGGAGGAGAGTGATGAGAAAAGAAAAAAGAAGTCGAGACTAATGAGGAAAGTAATGTGCATTGACATATTAATAGGAATTATGGGAAATAAAACTCTAGGACGTTCTAAAATTCTGTTCTACGTTGGCCATTGAAAAATAATGTACATCTGATCCAATTGTTGGAGTCAGTCCTCCTGTGGTTACTTGGAAACTAGTTTTGCTGGTATTGTCATCCTCATGAGTATACATTTTCCCTATGGGACACCAGCCCTACCATTTTGTCCCGTGTTTTCTCTCTGCTATAGTCAGTCATGTGTTCTATTGTTTACTTTTTCTTCTATTTCCTCTCCAGGCTTGAGTTGTATAGGAAAGTACCAAATCTACGAATTCTGGCCTGTGGTGGGGATGGAACGGTAGGTCCTTGGAAGAGAATACAGTTCTCTCCTTTATTTCTTCTATCTTTATTATTGTTTTTCTTGTGACAGTCCTATGTCTTCATTTCCAGTCTTTCCAATCCCCTAGAGCACATTTCTCTCATATGAATCATAGCCCGTAAGGGTTAGAAGGGACTTCAGTATCCCCATGGATACATACTTGATCTTTCTAAAGTATGCTTTACTCCCTCAACTGTACTGTATCCTTCCCTATTCCACAAGGTAAAGATGTGGTCAAATCATTAAAATGAAGGTTTTAGGTAGCTAAATTTTTTAAAAAATAAAAACTGATCTATTTCCATTTATTCTTAATAATTGGTCACATTTAATAAAAAGAAATATGTGGACACAATTGAATTATTGCATTTCTTTTTTTACTAGTGGAATTAAAACTCAGAGTATTAACTAACATTGCCTTGCCTTAAAGACCCTTAATTGGTCCCGTTTATATTAATTTTTGAAGAAAAGATGGAATTGGGCTGAAGTTTAGTATCATGGATATATTTCTCCCTGTTTGTGACATCTCATCTCTCATCTGTTTCTCCATTTGGCTTCTACTTATGTTAATAAATTTAGCAAAGGAAAATAATTGAGAATTGTGACATTTCGATTGTGTCGTTCAATGTATTTTTCTACTGGATTTGGAGTCTGATTTCATAGGATCTAGAATTGTATTATTAACTATCTTTGGTTTTTCTTTAATCTCCCTAATTAGAATGTTTTACTCTCAAAGGTAGCAACAAAGTCTTCTCTCTCATAGCACATTAGCACTTAATATAGCATTGGATACACGTTATAGACTAATAAATGCAACTGGAATGAAATAGAACAGTGATTCCATTGGACCCTCAAGATACTCTGTGGGAAGAACAAACATTTTCCAATTGGGAAAATAGTGTTTACCATTCTTCAAGATTCCTAATACACATTTTTAGCTTATAAAACTCATTATAAAATCTTATAGCAAAGAAGCCAAACCTATTTAACTTTGTTTAACCCAATGTTTTCCAAAGTCATTTGGCCATGGATTTTTTTTTTTTTGCCATAATGCCAATTAAATTTTAATTGATTATAGTGTTCTTGGGAGACATATTTAGGGATATGCTAGTGTGGAATTTTCCCAACTTCCTTTGGTAAGAATTACATCTAAACGAAACCTCTGGGGATAGGCACACTGTGTTCTCCCTTGTTTTTCCTTGTTCCTTTCTTCTACTCAGTAGACATGTGCAGGAAGCAATGTGCTAGGTTATGTCATATTCTGTGATTAGGTAAATATTTGAAAACATGGGATTTTAAAGCATGAAGGATAAAGAGAAAAGAGAGACAAGTCCAGATACTTGTGAAACACATAATTATGGAGTCTACGCCAAAGTCCAAAAGGAAAATGAAAAGACAGAAGGACAGAAGGACAACCAGTAGTCTGTTATGTCAAGAAAACAAAGTTTCAAGAAAGAGGAAGTGGTTGAACCTTTAAGGAGATACTGAAGAATTACCATTCAATTTGGAGACGAGGAAGTAACTGGTGATTTCAAGAAAGCTGTTTCAATAGAGTGCATACTTTTTCCTCTTAGGAACCTTATCTATGTTCTTAATTTCAGCTTTCACATACTTCCATGTACCTCACAAATGCATGAATCATCTATACTTGGATCATCCCACAGTCACGTGCAAAAGACATGCCTAAAAGTACATTTACCCTAGCATTAGTGCATACTTTTGAGCTATTATTTTTGTCAGTAGTAACATCTGTAGTCCAATCACTCAGGATCAAAACTTTCCTTATCTTGTACCTTATTTTATTTTATTTTACCTTGTTAAAATAAGGTGTTTTGTGAGAAAAATAAAAGGTTTATGAAACGGTATCGTGGTACCTGTATTAGTCCATTTCTGTTGCTTATAGCATAAATACCTGGAACTGGGTAGTTTGTAAGGAAACAAAATTTATTGCTTACAGTTTCAGAGGCTGGGAAGTCCAAAATGCAGGGAATACATCTGGTAAAGACCTTGGTGGTGGTGACAGTGATCTGGGGGTATCACATGGCAGAAATGGCGGGGGAGAGCGAGAGAGAGAGAGAGAGAGAGAGAGAGAGAGAGAGATACTCTCACATGCTCTCCTTTTAAAGCCTTCAGAACCACCCCCATGACTGTCATTAAACCATTCACTATGGTAGGGTCCTCACAATCTAATCACCTCATCAAGGCCTCACCTTTCAATTACTGTAATAGGATTTTCCCCCTCAACAGTTACAGTTAAGATTAAGCTTCAATCACTTTGGGGTGGGGTTGGGGGGACATTCAAACCACTGCAGTACCATTTATCATGGTATGTGATTGATATTTTTTGTTTTATTAGTTTAGAATTTGAAACTTTTAATTTTAGATGGAAGCAGAGTTTATATAAAGAAGAAGTAGCCCAATGGATTAATGAAGAGAAACTACTGACTTTCAGCAAGTGGAATATAACTGTGGAGAGCGTCAGGCATATATTTGACATAAGGTATTCAGCCTTTAGCTAGTGAGCGTATCTATCCCCATAGAAGCTGTCAGAATTCTCCCAGTGTAGTGACAGGCTCAAGGAGGAATCAGAAATGGAATATTTTTTGACTGATTAGGATGAGGGTATGTTAAACCTTAACCATATTAGTTTAAATGTACAAAGAACTGTTTAATATATAAAATTTTTTTTGTATTATTTTGGAAAAAAGTTATTATGCTTCAAGATTAGTTACTTTAATTGTACATTAATAAAAAAATACAAGGAGGAAGAGTGATATCTCTTTCTCTCTCAAAAACGCACTTGAAGGGCCGGCCCGGTGGCGCACTACGCTAGTGCGCCGCTTGGGAAGCGCGGTGGCGCTCCCGCCAAGGGTTCGGATCCCACATGCAGACCGGTTCCCGCTCACTGGCTGGGCGAGGCGCGGGGGCAACACCGAGGGTTGCGATCCCGTTGCCGGTCCTGGTCCGGTACGGGGGCGACACTGAGGGTTGCGATCCGTTCCCGGACAGGGAAAAAAAAAAAAAAAAAACGCACTTGAAGGTAGAGGTGGAAGAGGTTGTTCTGCCCCTGTTTCTGTGACCTTTGGCAGGTTCCTTAGAGACTTTCTAAATCTGCAAAGGAATACATTCACATTTCTAAGGTTCTTCACAGTTGTAGCATTATAACAGCATAGACCATTATCCACATTTGTAATTTTAAATTTTCTAGAAGGCACTTTAAATAAAAAGCAGGTGAAATCAATTTTATAACACATTTTATTTATTATTTACCTAAAATGTTATCATTTCAACATGGAATTTATAAAAATTATTAATGAGCTGTTTTCTTTTTTATTTGTATAGTCTTTGAAATCCAGCATGTATTTTATGCTTACAGCATATCCAGTTTGAATTGGCCATGTTCAAGTGCCCAGTCACCACATGTGGCCAGTGGCTGTGGCATTGAACAGTGCATATGTAGTCTCTTTGTAACTGGTTTGTGTAATTCAGAGGTGGTCACGTAGTTATAGGTATCAGATGGTCTGGTGTCATCTTTGATCTTTAGGTTGGGATCAAAACTTGGCTAACTTAAGAGCGATCTCAAATCCTCATGTTTATAAATAAGTCACTCTTTGGCCATGTGGCAAATTTGTATCCTCTCACTTCCTTGGCTTCATCTACACCTGTCCAACTCCCCATGGCTGTTACCTGCTTGAACATTGAAGAGCGTGTGAACTGAGACGCTGGAAGTGCGTGTGACCTTATTATGGCTCTGTAAGGTGTAACCCATGGTCCCTACCTACCCGGCTCCTGACTTTGATGAACTGGGCAAGTCCACCTTTAACCACCTTAACCTCTTTCCAAAGTCCTGGAATTAAATTGACTTTAGTGATCCACTTCATGCTTATTTTTTGTTCAATTGGCTTCCCTTGATAACAGGACATCCCAAACAGTAGGCACGCCCTGACTTACCACAGCCAAGGCAGGGAAAAAAATATTATTTGCCTTTAATTGACAGGGACAAGCAAATCATTCTAAGCCCCTGTCCTGCCTCAGCCTATCTATATCCCATCCCCTTTCATGATAAGTACATGGTTTATCCTCAGAGTGTATTCATTGTGAACAAGTAAGTGGATATCCTAAACCTATGTTCTATTTCAAAAAAAGCTCATACCTTGACTTTTGTCTTGATTTTGGGGGGCTAATTTTAAAGAGTTTTTTTTACACGCAATTACTTTGTAAACTATTAAGTGCAAAGATAAATTAAAATATCGAAAGAATGTAGTGTACCTATTATAAAAGGTCATCCAGTCATCCAGTGCTGTATCTTGATTTTCTCTGAGTTCAGAAATGTTGTCCTCGTTCGCCTTTGATTTCTCAGTATGTGTCCTTTGCTTTTCTGCCTGCATATACTACAAGGTAGTGCCACGTGTCTGCTCTGTTTGGAGAAAATGTCAGATCACTGTCATCTCCACCCCTCTGCCACCTCTAGTGCTAGTATTCTGCAGAATGAAAATATTACTCAAAGTGCTCTTGGTAAATATTCAGTGACAAGTAAAGCTGAAAATGGTCAGGTGGTGGCAGCATTGGCCAACTACTGCTGCGCATGGCCACTCAGGGACAATGCTGAGGACCTAGTGTTCTCAATCTGTCAGCTCTGCTTTTCCTAACGAAGGAAGGAAAGAACTCAGTAAGCTGGAAGATGATTTGGCACAATCAGGACAACTTTCTTCAGTTCTGGTGGAAAATACGCCAAGTGCTATGTGTTGCAATTAATTAACTAATTTAATTGAAAGGGTGCTGGGTGAACTGGTGGAGATGATTTGGGGAAATACTAAAGCCCCAGCAAACACAGTTTGGATCTCAAGCAGAAAAAGGTTTCTGATAACTGTGAAGGAAGAGCTCCCAATAACAGCTTTGGGACCTTCAGATCTTTTACAGTTTTGCTTTTATAAGGACAAAGAATGGATTATTACCCAAGATCTTCTATGTTTCCTGCTATTGTAGGTGTGTTTATTTCCTTTCTCTTTCTTATAGCCCCTTTCTACTGTGGGGCAGCTTGACTTTTACTGTTCTTTATAGTCTGCAAAAGAAAGCCTTCTTGTTTTGATGGCAGCCAGAGGTGGAACTGACTTGCAAACTTAGGGCTCGAGTTTTCTTTAGGTGGAGAGGTAAGAGGAGGGCGTTTTTCTTCTAGGAAACTGGGTATTTATCCATGAAGTGAGGGAAGAGGAAGAAAAATATACCTGAATCATGGTAGGTAAGGTGAATTTAGCATTTCCTGTCAGACATATGCTAAGCAATGTCTGCACATTATTCAATTGATAAAATAACTCTAAGAGGCAGGTACTATTATTCTTGTTTCACAGATGAGGGGGGAGCTTAGATTAAGTGATTTGCCTAAATTCACACAGCTGATATGTGGTGGCACTGAGCCTCCTTCTGCAGAAGCTGGTTGTTGGGGAGAGGTGATACAGCTATTTGTGGAGAAAAGCTATTCAGGAGCTATAGAAGGTAGATACAGACCCACCTCAGCCAAAGAACTCTTAGCCTAACATTGGTTGTTCCTGAGAGAATTTCAAGAGAAAGAAAAAAAAATCTGTGCTGAGCAAGGCAGGAGGCATTTGATGACTCCAAGGGTGATGAAATAAAATGCAAGAGTAACTGCTTGTATTCATGAGAAAACTAAATAATTGATCCAGTAACTACTGAAAAAAGGAGATAGACTAAATTTATCCAGCTTGTAAAGCTAATCAAATGATAAGAAAGGGGAAGCATGTTTACATTTAAATCAACTATATCTTTTGCTTTTCTGCAGAGGCCAAGTGTGAGAGGAGAGCAGGGGGTTAAAAATCCAAAGGCCCCAGGGCTCGTACCATTTTGTGGAGCCATGGCACAGTGTCACAGTAACTCCTGACAACCTTCTCTGTGAAAACCAATAGGAACAGGGCCTGAGAAGGTTTGAATGAGGGAACTGATGCTGATCAGAGGACTGTTAGAAGACACAGCATCAATTCATGGAAGTTATGAGACACTTACCTCAAAGTCATTTAAAAATTATTTGTATTTCATGGTCAGTGAATTAATCCCCGAACTTTCCCATTCATTTTAGTGTTAGCATTCCTCATTTGATTTAGAATTTTTCTTTGCAAGCTCATCTTCAGAAGTTGTTTCGATTTTTATTTTTCTATCTATATATCACTTCACTACCTCTTTCTAGTAGTTGTGAATTGTTTTCAGGACTTTCAGACTACAGTTGGGTTTTCTATAGGTGAACAAGCCTTCCATCTTTGGGGAGATGTCAGGGGTAGGTCAGTGAGCTGGTGGGAAGTTGGGCCAAGCACTCACCAGAGAGGGGCTTTCTCAGCTTCTTCCATCGTAACAGGTCTCAGCCTTTTATGGGCCATGACCTCAGACAGTGGTTTTTCACACTCTGCTGGGGCCCTGCTAAGATGACACCGTGCTCCAGTACAGCCTCCTGCCTGCAGAGGGCGTGCTTTGGTTCTCCATTATCAGATAGAAGCCAAGCTCCTGACTGGGAGTCTGCTGCTTGTAAGACCTGGAGCCCAGCTGATCCAAGCCTTTACCCCTTTACAGCTTTGTCACTTCATGATTTGTTTCTGGCCCATGAAGATGTGTCTTTTTCTTTTTTTTAATGATTGCTGTGTCTAGAGTGTAATGGGATGTTGAAAGAGTGTAAGAGACATATTTCAACTAAACATAAGAAAAGTTTCTAATTTAAAACTACCTAGAAGAAAATGGGCTGACTTGTGAGTACAAATCATAAAGGGGAGGTTGAATAATCATCTCTGAGACGTTTTAAAGAGAATACCTTCCTTTTTCGTCTCTGGATGGGATGTTAAATTAGATTTCTACCAAGTTTCCTTGCATATCTGCGAATCTGGTTCTACTCAAAGCTGTTTGCATCTTCAGTCAGTGATCCCTAATTGTTGGGCTGTCTAAGTGTTTGTCTTTTTTAATGACCTTTAAACCCCCTTCTTTTGATTTATTAGAGCCATCTACTTTTACTATGTTCATTTTGTACAGCACAGGAACAATGCCTAACCCAGTCATCAGAAGTAATTTACCGTCTGGCATTTTTGTTTTATTTTAATTCAATAGCAAGCATTGGTATTGTGTGTAAAAGAAGAGTTAAAGAAGCTCTGGGTCAAAATCTAAGGACTTGTCTAGGAGTAAATTACCCAGTTTGGGAGAATAGATGGAGTTTTTGACACTTTTACTGACATGGTTTTTTAGTTTGTCACGTTGGGTGAACATTGAGGCATGCCTTTTTATAAGGTAAACACAATTTTAGGTTTCATTGGTAGACAGGCAAGCTTTACATCCTGGGAAGTGATCATTGTGGCAGAGAAAGGATTTTAGATGGAAGTCAAGAGAATTGCTACTACTCTGACTCTGCCGCTTCTAATTATTTAGTCTTGAGAAAACAACATGCTCTCTCTGCACCTCAGTTAACTGAATTTGATTAAGCAATTCCTTTTTTTTTTGTCTTTTTTCGTGACCGGCAATGGATCGCAACCCTCAGTGTTGCTCCCGCACCTTGCTCAGCCAGTGAGCGGCCGGTCTGTATGTGGGATCCGAACCCTCGGCGGGAGCGCCGCCGCACTTCCCAAGCGGCGCACTGTAGCAGTGCGCCACCGGGCCGGCCCCTGATTAAGCAATTTCTAAGATATCTCCAGCTCTAAAGATTCCAGAATCGTATGCTGCTGCCTCTGGTCAGGCCATATCCACAACCGGGTTTAGTTCTTTATTTAAAGGCTCCCTGCACCACATCATTAAGAGGTTGGCCGTTGGTGTTAGGCATACTAATTTTGAATGCCAGCTTTACTATGTAAAACATGTGATATTAACCTTCCAACTGTTTATCTATAAAATGGAAATGGAAATTATATCTAACAGAGTTCTTTTGACATTTAATAAGATAATTGATTAAAGAACTTGGCTCAAGGATAGCACATAGAAAGCAATCAGTATGTCAGTCTTTTTGTTATTGTAAACCACTTGCTTCATTCTGTTTTACCTGTAGTAGCGTTCAATAAATGTACTGTTAAAGTATTATTTTCAAAAGACATGACTTTTATACAAATATAGAATGAATATATGTCAACAATTTACTTAATTCTTTAATGGGGGAACTAGCAGGATAGTAAAGCTGATTTATCAGAGAAGTAGAAGTTATGTAGTTCATACTAAAATAAGTTTTCTAAATTTGAGACACAATTGTTTAACATCCTACAGGGAAATAACACCATAACCTTTAAAGTAATCTTCTCTTGACATTTGCATCAGTACAGGACAGAAATCTCTGTTAACTTATAGTTATAAAGTTCCTGAGTAGGCCTGTGAAACACTATTCTAGCATAACTTTGTGTGGATAGGCATTGAAAACAATTTTTCCAAGCTTTGGGTAATTTTTTCTAAATAGATATAATAAGACTAAACCCAAACTATTATTTATCTTAGAAAAAGATTAAGTGGGGATATGATTCTAGTATATAAGTATCTATTTTCTGCCTAAACTAATAATAGGTACTAGTTCCATCCGTAATTATATTTTCATACTGTTTCATTAAGGAGAATATAAGGGTCTTTAGAAAAACACTAATTCTCAAGATGATACTATGGAGAGTAACCATTTAATGAGTGCTTACAGGGGCCATTCACCATGTTGAGGGCTTTGTATACATTTTATTTTAATCTGTGAACAATCTTGTAGGTATTATTCCTATTTTAAAAATCAGGTAAATGAATCTCAGAGAGGTTAAATAAGTTAATCAAGGTTATGCAGCCAATGTGAGCCAGAATTGAAATTCAGTCTGATTCTGAGTCTTATATTCCCTCCTGTGCCCTTACATTACCCTCCTAAATCTTAAATGCTTCTAAATTTTAAAGTACATCTCTAGTTACACACACAGATGAACCATGTATAAGTTTGCTTATATGATAGAGTATGTATGTACCAAGTGGCTTTTTTCCCTTTGAGAGGCTTACCATTTTGAAACTACCTGAGATAAGTAGCCCGTCTGTTCCCTACCCAGTGGATTAAATCATCTATGTTTTAAAGAAAAAATAAAACCATTCTGTTGAGCTCTTTAAAGCCTCCTCCTCTCAAGTTGTCTTCTTTGTAATTTATTTATCTTTCTTATATCTCTTCTGGTCCCCGATCTATCTGTAGGTGGGCTGGATCCTTTCCATCCTGGATGAACTGCAGCTGAGCCCTCAGCCTCCTGTGGGGGTCCTTCCTCTGGGGACCGGGAATGACCTGGCTCGAACGCTCAACTGGGGAGGGGTAAGAGCCACCCACGTCATGAAGCAACACACAGAATCCCCAGATCCCCGCGTGTTCTATCGGAAGGGGAGTTTGCTGCCACTGTCCAAGGAATAAGTTAGGGTTGGAAATCAAAGTGCCCGTGAACCCTGATTTTATCTGGTAGCTTCTTCAGTTTAAACTTAGAGTACACTAGAGAGGAAAGGAAAGTTTAATAAGAGAAAAATATGGTGGTGAGTACACAGACCTGGGGCTCTCTGAGGTATCCACTAAAAGACAGTGGGTTGGCCTCAAGTCTTCATGTAAAATGATCATGCAGACTTGAACTAATCCTGACCCTCAGCCCTAGCCAGAATAGCAAATCTGGTTCAAATTTACGCTTTCATTGGGAGAATTTTGACTTTTTTTGAGCATTCATTTGCTCCCTTAAGGGTCATCATGGCTTTGGCTCTACAGGTATCCAAGTGTCCTTTCTACTTTGGAGCCAATTTCAGACAAGCTTAGGGGGAAGAAGTTCTCCTGTCACTAACCAGCCATTTTATTTATGTTTTTGTTTTAGTACTAAGACAGTAAGAAGGCACAATATTCTAACACATACAGCCCCACCAACTTTTTATCTGCTCATATGAGACCATTACCTGGGCTGGGCTCCATGAAAATTATCTTCAGGTGTCTAGCAGATATTAATCTGGGCTTTGGGTGAATTCACATCCCATAAGTCTTTTTAAAAATTTTTTTAGTAGGCAGTGTATAAATAATAAATATATTTACACGAAACAACTAAGATATTATCAGTGCTAACTTCTCACATCCAAATCAATGACTTCACTGTCCTTAATAATCGTGCTGTCAGTAATGATCCTCAGAGAGTAAGTAGCTCCCTAACTGAGCTATTCCTCAGTCAGATTTGCCTTGGGTCGTGGAAGAAATGGTGTCCTAAGACCAGGGCGGAGAGAAGTAAATGAGATGGAATGTTCAATAGAAGAAAGTTGTCCATCAGATCCCACCTTGATTCTTTCCTCTCACGTTTGTTCTGCGTATCTGCAAATCCCTCTAGTAAGAGGTGCTGGGATACATTTGTTCTGTGTATCCCCCAAATCCCTCTAGTAAGAGGTACCCTGTTTTTCACTCTGATAAAAGCAGCCATCCAACATGGCCCGCATTGCCTACTAGTGACTATTGGCTATTGGTGCCAGTGAAATTATTCCTTAGCTCAAACCAGCCAGAGCTAGTGTTTTGATGCACCTTACCTGTGAGTATTGTCTTAAATTCTGTATATCTCTAGGAAATCACTTTACTCTCACAGCCTTGTTTACTACACAATAAACAGAACTATAGCAGCAGGGGTCTTCCTTGCTTAAAATGGCTTTGGCCTCATTGTCCTGTACTCCAGACAGCAATGGGTATGTTCTCTGATTCCTCAGGGCTACACCGATGAACCTGTTTCTAAGATCCTATGCCAAGTAGAAGATGGGACAATTGTACAGTTAGATCGCTGGAACCTCCATGTGGAAAGGAACCCAGACTTGCCTCCAGAAGAACTTGAAGATGGTGTATGTAAGGTTAGAGAGTTCTTTTGTCAGCAGAAAGGAACCCTGGAGCATCTGCCTGAGACACAGGAAATACATTCCTGACTGGAGAGTTATGTGCTGATTCCTTCCTGTGAGATAACAGGATAGTGTTTAAGTCTATGACTACTAGGGCTGTGAGTATAACACCAATCAATGATTCATAGATCTCTAAAGATCTAGATTTCATCCCTGCTTCCAGAGTTCAGGGAGCCGTTCTCTGTCTTCAGCTTCCGCACTAGAAAGGCATGTATCCATTTTATAATCTTTTGAGTTAACTGCAAGCAATCTATGAGAAGAAAAATGTTTATGTTCTGAGGCATTAGACACATGATCTTTCAGTAGAAAGATACTTCCTGAGATTTCTGGCCTGATATAAACTATCCCTTATATTTAGGAGGCATTAACTAAGCTAGTTTCATCACTTGGTTGGGGCTCGAAGATGCCTAAATAAATGTTTTGACTTAGTATTTTCTTTTAACAACTGAGCTTTTATTTTAATCCCAAACAAACCAATGGACATAATTGTAAATATGCCACTGTGTGGAACATTTGGTTCTAAGTTCTGGCCTCAATTTCGGATAAATTTTGTAGGTTGTGGAGTAGCCACTTTCTCTGTGTTACTTTCCACTTTTCTTCTATGATAGCGTTTTTAAACTTTTATAAGCATGAGAATCTCCAGGTATGCTTGTTAAAATGCAGATTACGATGCCCAGTCCCCAGAGATTCTGATTAAGTAAATTCAGGGTCAAGACCAAGGCATTTAAACAGTAACCTCACTATATTGTACCATGCCATTTATTGAAGCCAAGATTTCATGGATGTTGTCAGCCTTAAAATAGTTTGAACTCCATATAATTTTAGACCAAACCTATGTCCATTTATTCATTAGCACCATGATCCTGACCAACTTTGTTAGATCTTAATTTGCTAAAATAGCTTAAACCATGCTTTGCCTTACCTGCATGGTTTTTCCACCTGAACAGTAAAACCTGAAATTAACAAGGTTTCTAGTAGATATGATTACTGGGTTGAGCTTGAGTTTGTAATGTCATAATGTTGTTTAGACTACAAGTGTCATCTTGAGATTTTCTAGTTTATTTGACTTACAGAAATTGGATAGAAAACAGCCAAAGTAGAAAGAAGAGTACCATATGAAAAATTTAAGGTCCTTTTCCTACTATACTCAGAATGGTTAGTCCTACAATAGAAATTCATATTAAGTTATCTTCGCAGCAGCTTAAGAAATGAAAAGGCTTCTTGGTACAGCCAAGGAACATTAATCCAGATAATTAAATGTCTTTGAAAATGAATTTTTGAGAAGATGTATAGGAAATCAGAGCAAGTTTTCCTGGAAAATGTGAATAACTTAAAACAAACTAAATTGGGATATTATTTAAGGGATGGTGACCAGATGTTCTTTTTAGCTATCCCTGGATGCTAAGACATGGCTTAGAATTGTAGCCAACAGAACATAAATGGTAGGGGAGATGAACATATCTGTGCTTTTGGCAGGATCACCAACCCATGCTGTCATTGCTAAGGACTGGTATTTTGTTTAAGTGCAGGAACTGGACATTCTCAAATATGAAGCCAGAAGAGTGAGACATGGTTTGGCATTGTTTTACATCCTTAATTTCTCTCCCTATTCTCCAGTTAGTTGAAACCATTTCTAAGGGCTGATTTGTCTTCTGAATCCTTATGGGTTGTGACTCAGGGGCTTCTATGTGGGGTTGTTTCTTACTTCCATTAGAGACCAAGGCAATCCAATTTCTTTCTTTCTACACTAATATCTCTCTTTCTCTCTCTCATTTCATTTTTTTTTTTTTTTTTGTGACCGGCCGCACCGCACTCAGCCAGTGAGCGCATCGCACCGGCCATCCCTATATAGGATCCGAACCCGTGGTGGGAGCGCTGCTGCACTTCCCAGCGCGGCACTCTCCCGAGTGCGCCACGGGCTCGGCCCTCATTTTTATTTTAATGGGACAAAGTTTTCCCTCCAGGCAAACAGAAGATCTTACTGATCAAGGGGCTTATGAAACACTGTAATAAACTTACTTTTGAAATCTTGAGGGTTGAAACACATATTTCTCACCGAAGACAGGTGCAGTTCAATTTTGGGCATAAACCTGATAATTCTCTGGAAACATTACCTTTGCTTATTTACTTTACTGTTTGTCTTCTACTCTCAGTTGCAGAAGAAATGGGAGAACCACCCTTTCTCTTCTAGCATTTTCCACACGCTTTTCTAATTCTAAGTTTTGCAGTTTTAATATGGGATTTTAAGCTGCTTCGTTCTCTTCCTCACTCAGTTTGCAGCGGTAACAGCCAGGGTCCCAGAGGACTCTGGGAGGGAAAGTAAAGGTTTACTTGTGCATCTGTGTGGCTGTGATTGCAGATTTCATGGTCATATTAAAGAATTGAGGTTCGATAAATTAAATGGAAATCTGAATAATACTGATATAAATATGACTTTTTTGTGTATTTTTTTTCCTTTCCAGGTTAGCTATAGCTGAATGGTTTCCACGGCCTTATTTCTTAAATATAAATGTAAAAGTATATAAAATAAGTTTTTGAAATAGGTGATGGGTGAACAAATCAAGTATTTATCTTAGATTACAATGTTCATATGCTGAATATAAATTCTTGAAAAAGGCTCTTCGCTGATTAAGTAGATTAGGCATTATTCTTACAATTGAATTTACTTTCTAATTTTGCTTAGTGGATCATTCTTTGTAACTATTGCAAATGTGCATCCCTCAGCTTAACCAGTTTCTATTATTACAACATACACAAGAATGGTTCTTATATAATAATTGGTATTTGTAGCTCTTGTTTAGTATACTATTTATATTTCTTGAGATAATTACTTGATTTAAGCTTTCACTAATGAATTAATTCAAGAATCCCCTGTTCTTTTTATATAAGCACCCTCTACTTTGAATTGTGACTGATCTCTCTCTGAGGGACTGCCATAGGGATAGGTGTCTGGCTTCAGGTTTTATTTTTCTCTTTCTGCTTGGCTACACATAACTTTACCCTCTACCTTTGTTTATCATTGCAGCTTCCTCTGAATGTTTTCAATAATTACTTCAGCCTTGGATTTGATGCTCATGTCACACTGGAGTTCCATGAATCCAGAGGTGAGGACCACGTCCCATTTCCATCTCCCAGGGAGGAAGTTTCCAGCAGGTGTTTTGCATGTTCCCTTTTGTTTGCATATCACTTGAGTGTTGGCAGTGTGCATCAGCGTTGTTTCATTGTAACCTTCATCATGACACTGGGAGCTGGACAAGATAGGAACTTATTTCAATGGGACCCTGAGACCTAGTTGTTTAGGGTCTCAAAGGTAGTAAAGGACAGGACCAGGTGTATGTTCCAGGCCTCAGAAATGTTAATCTTTAAGTTTGTACATTTTGAAGTAAGGGAACTACTAAAAAGTGATAAAGAGACTCTTACTGTAGGTATTAGGATACTTGCAGCTTCACAAATCACTAGTTATTAAGGTTCAATACTTCATAACCAGAGCCATTGAAATATGGTAGGAAAAATAAAAAGGACATCCTCCCTGTGTGCATGAAAGAAACAATAGACTTAGAGTAGTAAAGGGGCATAGTAGTTTAAGTGGGAAAGTGCTGGGGGTCCCCACTGCATGAGATGTAGATGTGAATGAGACTGCGTGGAAATTTCAAGTAGTAAAAGAGGTTGGGTCAAGATTGGGGGAGAAAAACAATTTTTGAGAGGGAAATAAGATAAAATAATGACATGGTTAAAATTTTTCTTATGCCATTTAGAGCTGAGAAAGTTTAGGATTTTGATATATGCTTTGTAGATACAATCAATCTCTCTCTGTCTCTTGATCTCTCTCATTCTCTCTCTTAAGCTCTCTTCCTATTAATATAACTAAACTGTACATCTATGTGCATGCCCGCATCTATAGCTATAACTCTACCTACTTCCTTGTGAATATGTTTATATAAACAAAATAATCTTAGGAGATAGGTTATTAAGAAACATGTGAGATTAGAGGACATAAATGAGTAAGTACTTTGCTTCCTTTCCTTTAAGTTCTGCAAGAGTGTTAAGTGGTTTAAACCATAGAATTTGAAATACAGAGTACTAAAAGCTATAATTCAAAATTTCAGATTCCAGTAATAAAGCAGAGAAAATAATGCTCTTATGCATTGGAATTCAAGAGTGGAGCTATCGGATTAAGACCGTTACAATGCAGAATACAAGTGAAATAAAAATCTGTAAAGTCCTTTACTGAATTCAGCAAAAAGTGGACTTTTGCCTCCCTGGTGTCGTGAGTCTTTGAGGGGACAGGCTTTATAGAGATAAAATTCTGTGCCAAACAAAAACAATACTGATTGAAGAGACGGCAGTAGTTTGGTCTTTCTCTCTGGTTAGCCAGAAAATCGCAGACAGAAAGGACTGTTGTTAATGGAACCTCAGATATTCCAAATCAGAAACACCACCCCCCTCTTGTCTCCCTGCCATAGACATTTCTTGGAGATTAGCTATTTGGAAGGCCCTATACTGAGACCAACGTTTATAACCTGTTGCCTTTTCTATGTTTAAGGAGAGTCAATCTGAGAAGTAAGTGGGGAATTTCATTCTTCATTTCTTATCCCATTTTTTTCTCATATTTTTCAGGAGACTCTGGGTCTGGGCTTCTTGATAAGATCCCCAAGTTTCTTAGCAATACTTGCGAAGTAACACAATTATCGCTAATACAGATTTTCCCAAGACAGGCATAAAAAAAGAGGCCTAAATGAATAAGTGACCGACAACAAGCTCATTCTAGTGAGTCTAATATTGAGTCTAATTAATCAGAAAGTTATTCTAATGATACACTTCCTTGTTCTGTGATAAAATTTCTGTGCATCAGAGAGGGGAGCAGAGAGAGGTACCAAGGTGAAAAGACCAGGCTTAAAAGAGAATTCTTTTGGGGAAAGTGATGATCTTCTCTTATTTTAAGCTATGGGACTATTTAATTTTAGAGTGGAATATGCATATTGTGTATATGTACATGTACATAGTTTTATGTGTGTCATTATAAAATAATTGGTTAAAAGATTAACCAAGCAGGGCTGGCCCGGTGGCGCACTGCTACAGTGCACCGCTTGGGAGTGCGGTGGTGCTCCCGCCGAGGGTTCGGATCCCACATACAGACCGGTTCCCGCTCACTGGCTGAGCAAGATGCGGGCACAGCGCCGAGGGTTGCGATCCCGTTGCCGGTCCTGGTCCGGTACGGGAGCGACACTGAGGGTTGCGATCCGTTGCCGGACATGAAAAAAGACAAAAAGGAAAAAAAAAAAAAGATTAACCAAGCATTAATCTTTGAATCATTTGTAGCTGAGGCTTAGGGTAAGTGTTTTCATGCAGGATGGAATGGAATTGCAAACATTTTCCCTGCATGTGAGGCAGAGCCTTTGAGGAAAACCAGCCACTGAAGAGCTGATAATGGAGATTGAAAGTAACGGGTACATGATGGTGAGATAGAGATGGTAAAAAATAAATGTCCATGACATACTGGAACCAGGTATTGCTATACACCTAGATCAGAGATGTGGACTTCTCAGCATCTGTTTTTTTTTTTTTTGTCCTTTTTGAGACCGGCCACACGACGCTCAGCCAGTGAGCGCACCGGTCATCCCTATATAGGATCCGAACCCGTGGTGGGAGCGCTGCTGTGCTCCCAGCGCCGCACTCTCCCGAGTGCGCCACAGGCTCGGCCCAGCACCTGTTAATCTATGCTTTTTACATTAAATAAAAATAATTATTTATGAATAAGAAGTATAATTATTCAAGCTAATGTACTTTTTAAAAACTGTTTTCTGTTCATCTGGATTTTCTCCATACTTTTACCTGGTGAGTGAAGAAATCTTAAGCTAAGTTATAGAAGAAAAGGAAAAATAAGCAAGGACACATTTTTAATTGGGGTGGGCTTACTTATTTTTGTTGGTAGATAGTGAGTGGTTGTTCTCAAACCAAGAATACTTATAGTTGAGACTTTAAACTATTCTCACACTCACAGTTTGAGGCCTCATGACAGAACATATTATTTGCCAAAATACCTGGAGGGTGAGAAGCTTCATGAGAGCCATGGTGAAAAAATGAGCTTGGATAGAATAACCTATTAAGTATTAGTTGAGAAAATAGATTACCTTAAATTGAGAATTATGCCAATACATCAACATGAAATGGGTAATAAATACAGATCTAATTAAGGTGGATTTTTAAAAATTTAGCTGAGGAAAAAAAATTTGGCATAGATCGGAAAATAACCTATCGAATTGACAGTTCTGAGCTTACCTACCTATATTGTATTAATTTTAGAAGGGACAGTTAAAGTGACATTTATTTTGGAACAGTTTATTAGTATCATTACTGTGCAAATGCTTTTAGAATTACCACTGGAAAATCAAGCAAGGAGTAAGGATAGTCTTAACATTTTGATTGACTTTGTTTATAGAGAAAGCAAGCATTTGATAATTTGGGTTTCTATGTTTGTTTAGAAAGAAGGTATACTTCACTTGGTTGGAAAACAGAGATGCTCTTTTCTTCTTGAAGTAGCCAAACCATTCATGGTTGAACCGTTGCTACATAAGTATCAGCAAGTGCAATCGTTCAGAATAGAATTTGGAGATGTAATAGGATTGGTCATGTAATTGTCAGCTGGAGTCTTGCCCAGTTCATCATTATTGCATTATGACAGTGCTTCAGGAAGTGCATTGAAAATATTTCAATCTGCTTATGTGTAGCTATGTTAACAATGATTATGGTTATCAGTGACAAAGTTAGGTCTCACTTTGTCAGCTATATGAATGAGATTGTCACATTTTGGACATGAAGGATATTAAACACATCAGATTTTTAGTCTGAGATTGGATGATTAAATTTTACTGGCTCATTGAAGTTACTTATTATTCAGAAGAGTTAAAGTTTATTCCACAAGGTCAAGGAAATACAATTATGACTCTAGAGGAGGCAGTGTTTAAATTTGATTTAGGATTTACTATTTTCACTGAATATACAGAGACATGCAGATCAGCACATTTCAAAGGATTATGAATGTGTCATGATTCGTATCATAGAAAACTGACAGGTTTTTTAAAAAGGTGTCATTTGCAGTAGCTTGCTAAATTTCATCACTACCATCACTGCAAAGGACACACTGCAGACTCTTGTCCAGGCACTGAGGCTCAAGCACAGTTTTCCCTTGAGAAATTCTCACTGTCTGTGATTCTCTGAAATCTTCTTTTTCATCTGGAACTTACTCATCATTCAAGATTCAAGTATACCTCCCTTGAGAACACTTTTCGGAACATCCCCCTTTTATGTGCCCACCACTTCATCTTATATAGACATTTTTCATAGCATACATAAAATAACATTTTACTTTTCATTTTCAGACCTGTTCCTCCACTGTAAACTACATGAGGGCAAAAGACCCCTCTTAATTATTTTTATATTCCTAGTCCCAGCCCAGTGGCTGTCTCAATGTTGGTTGCAGTAATGGAATGTTTAATTGAGGGATAGGCCCCATAGATAAAAGATACATAGCAGTAGAAGGTAATATACAATAAAGGCAAGATTAGTTGTATAGGCAGTAAATAATATAGGAATTCAGTGGGACCAGTGGAAATTGGGGGAAATTTCTAGAAAGCATAGTAGGTAATACAATTGGGAGATACAGAGAGGAATGTGATATAGACAAGTAAAGTGGATGAGAGCATGTCAAACTGGAAAGAGAAGTAGAAAGAGACAAATGAGCTTGTCATAAAGATGGGTTAGATGAGCAATTAGTACACGATGAAAGATTTTGCTATGGTGTTAAAAAAAAAAAAAGGATAATGTTGATACAAATATTTGTCCTTAATGGGAGCTGATGTTGGAAAGAAGGGAAGGTTTTTAAAATACTGTACACAATTTGAGTTGAAGGTGGTGATTTTACTGCAGGCATGAATTTGAGTCATTTGTGTATACACGATAACTGAAGACTTAAGATTGGGTGAGTATCCAATGGAGAAAATACGGAAGATGTGGGAGTTATATGGGGTTCAAATTGCATATTCTTACACACATAGGTACTTTGCTTATACGAGGGTACTTCACAGAGTTCATGGAAAAATAGAAT